GTTAACGCCCCCCCCCCCCCAAAAAAAAAAAAAATAAAAAAAAATCGTATCCAGCCTTTTTGTGCCAATGGTGGAGCCATCAACTGTTGTTTGGAGCCATTGAGGTCGCTTGAAGGGAAAAAAAAGAAAAAAAAAAACATCGTCGAAGTCTGCATTGTGGGGAAAAAGAAAAAAACACGCAAGTACGTTTACAATGCAATAAGGTAGCAAAAAGTAGGCTCATTCCACTCATTGCCATCCAAGTACGAGTCTAATACCTTGAATGAAACGAAATTGCCCACCCCTGCAATCTGCTAAATTAAATTCCAAACTAGAACATATACCACAAGCCAAACTGAGCTGCATGAGACTGGAGCCCACCAATTTGCAGAATTTCGGACCCATCCCAGCATGCTTAGTTACAACGACTTCACCTCAGTCACTGATTCTACCGTGATAGTCTCTATGATCAACGATGCGAAAAACATGCTGCGCACTTGACGCACTTGACACACTTACAGCTCACAATGCATACTACCATGAGCCCGTGTACCCAGCTGGCCCATTGAGCTACGCTCATTGACAAGCCTTAGGGGAAATTAAATGCATACATTGTGACAGTCAAAGATCAAGAGAAGGTGACCATCCTGCATTCAACACATATCCTATCATGAGCCTGCTTCTATCTGAATCGTCCATTGGCAACCCAACAGGCTCTAATCAGCACCATCAAGACCCCCATGGAATGTGGAATTTTTTTTTTTTAAATGATTTAAAAATCATATGAAATAATTAAACATAGGCTGTTTTTTTTTCGGGCACCCGGGCACCCAACTTATGCCCGGGTACACACCCGGGTGCCCGGCTGGGCATGACACCCGGTCAGGGTTCCGGATAGCCCCAGCGCAAAAAAAAAAAAAAAAAAACGGAAAAAATAAATAAATATGTTGTGTGTGTAGAGTTGCAATACGAACGACTTTTGGCTGAGGGTCACATCAGAATTCCGCACAGAATCGGAGATAAAAAAGAAAAGTAACAGAATCACACTAAGGCATCCCCCTTTTAAAAGTTGAAACCAATTCATACCCCCCTTCCCCCCCCCTTGATAGCCAACTCTCAAAAACAGAAATGAGCCCGGATTTGGGGTCCTCTGGGAGAAGCCAACAACAATTCTTTTTTTTTTTTTGCACGTCCGGGTACTCTGGGCATCATGCCCGGGTGCCCGGCCGGGCATGAAAATCTTCCTAGAATTAAACTTAATTAAAGCTATGTTTTGTAAATTGCCTCACTCTTCAATCCTAGAATCTGATGTTCTGGACTGGACTATCGGGCCGCTATGATCCACATCATTCATGAGCGACCGAAGGCTCTTGGGGATATTAGGGTCTTGCGTTGTGCGAAATGGCCCAACTGCGCTCAGATCAATGGAAAAAGCAAACTGGGTGTGTATTTCTTATGATATCATGGTCTTTGACTTTGTGTTTGTTTTCACATTCAATTTGCTAATACTTATGATGTACAGGTAGCAGGAAGTGCTCTCAAACAGTTGATTGGCCTTCCGATGTGAAAACTAACCAGCTCCCCTCTTGCTTGTATCCTTCTTTTGTAGTTGGATAACCCGTACCACCTTGGATAACCCCTACCGCCGCCCTCCAAGACGTCCCGGTCAGCAGATGCAAAATAGTGACTCCAAATACATAGACTTAATTTAGTTTTCTCATCGATAACTTCCGACTGCCACCGTTCTGCGGCCCACATACTGCTGGGCATAATGATTGCCTTTCTTTTTTTTTCTTTTTTTCTTTTTTGAAAACCGGCGACCATTTGCATTGTAGGAATCTGGATGTGGAATCTGGATCCCAATCTTCGGATTCATTTTCTGACTTCTGTTTGACCCATTCTGGGACGAGCAGCACCTGATCGAGATCACCAATCTTGGGCACAAAGTTGTCATCCAAAAGAATGTTTGCTGTGTTATGACCCGGACCAATTGCGAAGTACAAATTCACCAATCGACACAATGTTCCCCAACTGCAAAAGGAAATGAATGAACTTGAGAGGATGGAGAGGATAAGAAGAAGAAGAAGAAGTAGAAAAGATTGGAAAAGACAATGTACACCAGCAAGAACCAATGTCAAAGCTCTTCTTCTTCGCTCAACTCCCTTGCATCTTATCTCCCCCTCCTCTTTATAAATTCAAACAATAAATAATACAACAATGTTGGAGTGAGGGTCCAGTATCACTGCCCAAGTCTC